CCTAAGTGATCTCCTGAAACTGTTCTTCTGGAAAAACCGAGACAGGTAAGTGAAAAATCTAATACCACTACACCTTTTTAGATGAGTCAAATCCTCCCTTGTTTTACAGAATATATAAATAAGATATGCCATTGCATTTGCAGACCAAAGCCACCTGTGGCTCATGCTCTGCTTTTTCTGCAAAGAACTGAAGGCAGATCTAGAACTTAAGAAATCTTAAATTCTCCTATGATCAGGTACAAAGTCTGGGCTTTTTTTTTTTTGACTAGACAAAGGCCAAACCCGTTTTCCAATCTAGAGCTCCAGTTCTATCTTGTCCAAAAATTTGCATCTTGAAAGGCTCCTACAAACTAATTTGGAGGAACAGATATTAAACAAAGTGCAAGATATGTAAGGAATAAGAATGCAACACTATGGAATACCTCCTTTTAATTTCTGATATTTTAAAATTAGTAAATGCTCCGAAGCTTAAGCTTTAACTGAATGTCAACGTTGTTGTGTGTTTGCTTGCTTTTTCTTTAAACAGAAGTGAGAAATATATGTTTCAATGAAATGTACATTTTACTACAGTGTTTCTGAACAAGCTCTTTTCACTTTTTCAAAGGCACAATGTTTTTATACTATAAAAAAAAGGAAGCAGAAAAACCTGGTATACATTATGTATAATCATACTGTCATCATCAGTTTTATTTCCTTTTCTAATTATGCAGTCAAGCAGCTACTGTACACAGAGCCCCTATGGCACTTTTCATAATGATATTAAACACTGTCTTGCCTTACCTTCCCCCTCATCCAAAATTCATGCAGAACTTCAAAGAACATTAACATTATCTCTAAGTGGGAATGATAAAGTCACGGCAGTGATTTCCACCTGAGGTCACAAATTTTGCTTCATACCCCATTATCGCACCTCCAAGAATTGGAAGACCAGAAGGAAAGAAAATAGGAGTGTGCAACATTGGCATGACCGTAAGTTACAAGCCTTTACAACCAAAGGAAACTCAAACAATATCTTGTTTTACTCCAAATGCTACAGACACTTGTCTGACTACTGGAGTAGTAATGTCTCCACACCAAAATTAAACCAGCAGAGACATGAAAATCAATTCCCAGTTTCCAGTATTTTCCCACTTCAACTTCATCTTTGAATTTAATATATGGTGCACCCTCAAAGGGCAAATTATTTAAGGTTGCATTTCAAATCCAAGTCCTATCATTGGCAAACTTAAATAAGAGTTAAAATCCCTTTAATGCTATTTGATACAAAAGCCAATTCTTGGAAACTTACAGCAAAAAAGCTGAACAATTTTAAACCTCTAGGAAATTTGATTTTATAGGAAAAGCAGATGTTCTTCTACTTCACCAACTCCAGCCACTCAAAATGCATAGCTGACCTGCTTCCTATCCAGATGTTTGAGTACCAAGAAACTGCATTATGTTATCCGAAAGGCTCAAAAATCCAGTAGGATCTGTGAAGAATGACCAATGAACAATAGCAGAAAAGACAAAATGGTCCAAAAGACAAGTTCAACCTGACAGTACAATCCCATCAAGGGAAAAAAACCTCTTCTAAATAAAATAAAAATCCAAGGCAATTTGAGGCCTCTCAGTATGAGGCCTGCAAAGGCACTGAGAAGGTAGGACAGCATGTTTTTACCAGATGCTCCACTAGACAAGAATCCTGCCGACACATGCCTAAGGACCAACCCCCTCCCATCCCTACTCCTTTGATCCCATGTCATCTTTACGACTGCCTGTGCTTAGCATAAGGAGACCCTTCTTTCATACTTAGTTCTTTCCTAGATGTTAAAGTTTGTGAATTGCCCTAACAAAAAACTGTTTTAAAGTCATATTTGTAGACTTGGAGGATGAAAGTCTGAGACTCAGGACTTCACTGACACTTAAGTGGTATAGCTGAAGACCTCGAACCCATTTCAAAGATGTTAGACTTGAGTCTTGGAACGAAGTTCTTATCTTCAACTTGGAGCACTCAGGTTTTAGACCCAGCCTAACCCACAGCTATTCTGACAGAGGCTCTTTTCTGATGCATTATTTCTAAAAGCCTGCTCCAAGGAAGAATACATACTAATTACATTCATTATTTTCTGTTTAAAATCATGAATGCTATACCAAAATGCTCCACACCAAGTCAGTCCACCTAAAATAATTTTTCCAACTGTTTTCTAGCCACAATAAAGGAAAATTCCAAGCACTATTTAAAAAAGAGCTATATCCACACCAAGTCCTATCATTGGCAAACTTAAATAAAGATGAATGTAAAGCTTCCATCTGATGAGGAACATACAGAGACATAAAGGCTGTCTCCCTGGAAGCTGGGAATTCAGAAGCAATTAGGGCAAAAACTCTTCATACCTTCTGCATCTGAATACTGGAACAGAGGAGTATGTTTGCACATACCATTCAATAGCTTTGTTTTTTTCAATGGTTCTTAAGATTAGTGAAAATGGCAGAGAGAGACATTAATTTCTCCTTCATTTTCAACCACTGTAATAACCAAAAGCTTCAACAAGACAAAGATGAATTTATCATGCTTCTGGAAGTATTAGTAGGCACAAATATTGAAAACCAAGCCCTTATATTAAAGCACAGTGATAAAAAGGGTATGGTCATCCTCAGGGGAAAAATACCAACAGAAGTTTCAACCTATATTAAGCACAGAAAGGTAAACTTCTGAGTCATTCACATGCTATTTAGGGTCACGGCACATATTTGTCGAGGATCTCCACATAGTAAATAAATGCAAGGCTCAGTAATTTAACTCTGTCAAAGAGATTTTTTTTTTTCTTCTTGACTGGAGTGACTTAAGGAGGTCACAAGTAAGAAAGCAACAGGAATAGAATTTTCTATTTTCTTGGCTCAAATGATAAAAACATAAACCACAATACAATGTATACAACCCAGGTTTTCAAGGAAAACTCCTTCAAGCTCAACAGCAGCTAGCAGCTTGTCTCTATTTGCCGTCACTCTAGATCAGAAGAGCCCACATGCTTTTTTTTCCTTTCCTGCCCCTTTCAGTTACACTTGAGCTCTTTGACTGAAAAGGTCTGGAACAGATTAAAAGTCCGACCACAAAATAAAGAGCCTTGGCATGTACTCAAGCCTGTCTGGGATACACATACACAGTGGGCCCAAAAAGGGAAGCTATGCAGCAAGAAACCCTTAATCAGTCTTTTGGACATTTCTAACTTCTTTCAGTTTAACTGCACAGCCTTAACATTTGATAGAGTTTCAGTATGCACAAGACAAGCAGCTTTTGCCCTTACAGTTGAACCACTTGTATTTACAGGAATACATAATTGTGACAAGCAAGATTCATCTCACTCACAACCTCTGTCCATTAAGGCATTTTCCACACCCCTTTTTAATTCCAGTTCATCTTTGGAAATGATAAAGTAATGCATGTAAAGAAAAACAGCTACCCTGCAAGATTACCCGAGTAAATGTAATTGCAAAAGGCAACACTGATTTTCAAAATGACTGCCTCCTTTTCAGTCTTACTCACATAGTAAGTAATTGTGAAGTTGCAAATTACCCACACACTCCTCTTGCAATGTGCAAACAAGTCTGTAGCTCTGGCTGGTGTTAAAGCCAGCACGGACATTTGCCAAAGCTGACACCCCACCTTTGGGCTCAAGTTGCATAGTGGTTCAACCTGTCTACAAACTGGTGAGCAGTTTATAAACAAAGTGTGACAATCTGATGTTCTTCGTAAGAGTAAATGGATCTTGTAAGCAAGCACTCAAGCCTACAAACCAAAATGCAGAATTTCTAGCAGACATTTTAGAAAACAAAACAGAACAGTGACTGTTGATTTTTGTAGCTCTGTATTTATATGGCATTCATGGAGTTAATGCCTTTCCCAGAAGGGGCCCACAGTTGTTGTTAGGTCAACCCCTGTAAAGCTTCAAAGGTTTTGCATCCCCTCAGCCTGACCTACTCAGTGATCTGCACACTGTTTTCATTTAGCTGCACTGAGTCCAAAAGTAAAGCCTGAAAACCACAATGATCCCTTTTTTTTTTTTTTTTTCACTCCTACTGTTTTTCCATGGCTCTGGAAAAATAACTAAAATCCAAAGGAGCTGAAAATAGTAAGTTATTGGGAAAACAAATCAAGGGCAAGCTAATAAGGCTGACACCCACAGGTCATGGCTTTACAAGAAAACAGAAATTTTAACACCATACAAAATACATCACTTGGATAATCTATGAAAGTATTTTAGAGTCTTCACATTATATGTGATTTCTATTCATAGTCATCAGTGCCAATATTTTCTTGAAAAGTTTGCAGTTCTGCTCTTCACATAGATGAAAAATATAATTGAAAAAAATTGCATAAAAGTTCTGCTTTGTTTAATTTCTCCATCTAGACTTTGTGATCGTTAAGTTACTATTTCTAATTCCAATATTACATAGTCTTTATCCAACAAAAAGGTTATTAAAGAGCAACAAAACTAATAATTTCTTATCATATTGTTTAATACAGAAAGTTTTGTCATGATAATCACTGTGACAAGCTGGAATTATAAGCTGGTATATGTTTCAAGTGTATTTAAACAGCATGAACTATTATTTGACAATGCCCTCTTAAGATAGCACAAAGGAAAATAAATATTTGTTTAGGAATTAAAATATTCTTCTGTGGTAAAGTTTTGCTAATTTAAAGGGACGAGTGAGCTTGACTGAAACTGTCTCAAGAAGTAATTTCTGAATGTCACCACTTTGGGGAACTGTATGGATCATGTGGCAAAATACCAACCCATAGCATTACAAACTTGGGTAACATACAGTCCTGAAGGATATAAACTAATAGTTTTTATCAAAAAAAAAAAAAAAAAAAAAAAAGAAGTTATTTAAATAAGGCCTCTACAAGTCAAAATATATTTTAATCGTACTATAAAAAGTTTTCAAAATATGCCTGCAAAATTAAAGCTGAGTGAACTGAAGCAAATCAAGAATTCTGAATTGAGATGAACTTTTACCAAAGCGTGGGTCAAGCCTTGGGTCTAGCCAAGATGTGGTCTTGTTCTTATGGTTTATGTAGTAAATTTCTCCATCCTGGGTCATAGCTTGTTCCCATCCATCGGGGAGTGGGCCTGCAATATAGAAGGAAGGAGTTGATGGCGGGCTCTTGTTTGCTCCAGCTGAAATTGATCTAAAAAATATTTTAACATTCTACATATATAACAATACATGAAACAGAAGTGTTTCAAGCTCATTTCTGGGATTAAGGGCAAAGAAGTGCTGGGTGGGAAACCAAGGAACAGGAAACACTTCTATCATTTTTATTTAGGATTTGGACTTTAATTTTCAAACTTGTTTGTATGCTTTCATATCCTTTGACACATCATTTTGCTATAGCGCACTAGTATAAAACCAGCAATAAGTCAAGCCTGCCAGAATGAAACCAGCATGTGCACCAGGAGAAAGAAGAATAGTTCTACCTCTCACAGAAAAGTTCATCTAGTGATTAAGACACAGCAGCAGCAACAAACTAACACTGAGGAGATCCTGAAATATTCCTGTCTTTCACAAACAATTAAAAACAGAAGTGACAAAACTCATTACCTCATACTCTAACTTTTGGAGAAAGCTTTCAAGGCTTAAGCAGACAAAAATGCAAACCTGAAGAACAAGGCAGGCAAAGAAGCAATGACAGAGCAAAGGTAAAGAAACACCATGAGCAGTCACAAAGACACAGGGCCATGAACAGCAGTGCAACGCCTCTACAAGCAGAAAGGCACACACAGGAAAAACTACTTCTAGAAAACGGTCAAAGGGAGGTACATAATGATATTGTGGAGTCCACAGTTGATGTCTGAACACAGCCTGAGGAATGGTTCCCATATGTTCCCATCAGCAGCTTTCAAGAAACTACCTTTCATTCCTATACAGCACTTAAACCTCTTGTTCCCATCTATACGGTCATGCACATTCACCCATACATTTGCTTAGACTGAAAACTATTTTAAAAAATTATATTTATCTCATCTTATCTGGAAGGTGCTTTACAAATACATGGGTTTGAATTTTTATGCTCACATTGACACGGACATTTAAAAAGGTCTAAATTAGATATAGGAAGATCTTCCCTGTATTTTAGATTTAAGTACAATCCTCAAATTATGCAACAAAAGATTCACTACACATGTTAAGAATGTAAAAGAAATAAGAACAAAACCTGCTGTAGCAGCAAGCCATTGTATTCCAAGTTCTTCTACTCTTCCTCAGTGAAATACAATGATACAACAGCAGAAGTAATCTGGCTGTTAGACTTAGACTAACAGATTATTCTGTATAATGTGAGACACACTAAGTATACACAAATATCATTATTTCACACATGAGATTCAGGTACACCCAAAAATATGTGCCCATCTGATAAATGTCTACTACATCCATCTTCAAACTACATTAGCTCTTGACTGTAACTTTGTCTTGAAGTCATGCTCCTGCTAAAGAATTCAGTCTAAAACTTGGAGAAGAGGTGGGGAAGACAGATTCATTTGCTTAATCTCAAAAGATGTTCTTGGAGAAATGTCAAAATTAGTAAAAAATAATTCAACTGCATTCCAGTAATATCCCAAGGCATCATCAGGACAAGAATTTCTTACTGTGGTCTTTCAAGATCCCTTGCAAACTACATTTCTAATTTAAACTTTCATTTTGGCTCAGAAAACAAAGCCCTTCTCTAACAACTTCACTACTCCATCGCTGGTGTTACAGATGAATTTCAAGTGAGGAAAAACAGTGAACACCAGGCATTTTCTTCTCATCTGTAATGCTCTAAATGTTGCCTACAAGTAACACGTACCTCAGTTTTATCAGAAGCTGAACAGAACAGACAAGAAAGAGTGACAATACTGCAAATGATGCTTAAACCCTAAGATACTCACTGTACAAAAGGACTTTGATGGAGAAATGAAAGCTCCAGTGCAAAGAACGCAGTACTTTTTTACCATACCCAAAGACCAGCCAGCTAACCAGTGAGATGTTTTTTTTCAAAGCTGGGGCACAGGAGCACAGAGACATGTCCCCCATCATCCAAATGTAGAAGTCAATGAAGAACCAAACTGACTCCTTTACTGCTGACCCAACATGCTAGCCATGCAGGCAGACCTTCTCACCATCACTCTCCTCAGAGTCCTGCTAAGCCATACATGCCTTGGAGAAACTGAGCAAGAAATTCTTTGTGAACTGCAAAGCCAGAAAAACCCTCTTTGGCTTGAGGAAAAACAAAATCAGCCTTGGGGTGTCAGTCCTGCTGAACACTGAAATCTGTACTGGTCCAGCATGTTCCTTTGAAGCAAGTAAGAACAAAATGCCTTTGAAGAAGGCTGCCAGGAGCTGATCAATCCATCCACCGGGTGGAATAATGCTACTTTAGAGATTCAGTGATCTGATGAGTACTAGCTTACTACTAGAGACAAACCTGGGCAAGGTTCTCTTTCTAAATAAAATGCACAGCTGTGGAACAGGACAAAAAGGTCCATCTGCTCACCTGGCTGTCACAGCAGCAAGCCTTCCCTGCTAAGTGCTATAAATGACTGCAGAAGCAGAGCTTTTATCTCTGGAAACTTTTGGCATTAATAATGTAGCTTGCTTCCTTGTACAATAAACTGCTCTCATGTTTCTGCTGTCATCGTTACATACTGAAAAGGCAGTTCAAAAACTGAAATTATTGCCTTCTGTAATTCCTGTTTGGTTTTGTAATTGTGAAACTAGAAGACAGGTCTGACTTTCTAAAGGGTCACTTGACAAACTCTGTATTCAAGGCAATTACCAGAGGGAAGAACTAAACTCATGCTGAGGAATACGAGACCAGAGCATCTAGGAAAATTCCTCTGCAATTACAGGCCCATTTCCTCCCAAAAGGCTGAATAGGAACAGAATTTTCAGCATTAGATAACCTAGGTCACAAAAGCTGAGTCCTATATTGCTGCTATTCAGACCTTCTCACTAAAATTTCCATCGTTACTGTGGCTCATGCTGTACAGAAACAGCAATACTGGGTCTAACCAAAAGTCCATTTAGTCCAGGCATCTAGCCTGGGGTGATGGACAGACCTTGTTGGCTGATGAAAGTAGCCTATTTAGTGACTATCACACTCTATAATCTTTTAAATAAAGCACTGAATACATATGGAGGTATACAGGTATGAATAGTCACTTGGCCTCCAAGTATGTTGGGCACTGGAACAGGCTCCTCAGGGATGTGGTCATAGCCCCAGTCCTGACAGAGCTCAAGAAGTGTTTGGACAATGCTCTCAATGGTGTGACTCTTGGGGATGTCCTGCAAGGGCCAGGAGTTGGACTCGATGATCCCTGTAGGTCCCATCCGAATCAGGATATTCTGTGATTCTATCACAAGTTATTCCTTGGGCCGGTTTCTGTCTGCTTACTAAGTGCCAAAATATCTCTCAAGTACTTCTCCAGTCTCCCCTCCAACTTTTGCAAATATTTAGGACAAACAATATCCCTGTGACTGGTCCCCCTACTAGTTCTGTTGGGTGCCTCCTATGACAACTGAACACTATCACACCTGTAAGTTTAGAATTCCATGAAATAATTTGCACACGGAGACACAACCCTTCTAGGCAGGGAACTCAGCCTGCACTGTGGTACTTTTGAGGACAAAGTTACCAAAAAATTAAATCCTAATTTCCAAATGTAAGCCAGCTTTCCAGAACTACTGGTAAGCCATACCTCTGTAACTAAATATTTATATAATGGTGTAACTTCATATAAATAACATGTAATTTTAAAAGCCTGTGTGCATGTCTCTTTGGTGCACATCTCCACTTTTTGTGAGGTTTTTTTTTAAACTTTCTCATATGCCATGGAATCTGGAATGCAAAGCAGAGCTTGCTTCTGGCAGATAGAAAGCAACTGGAAGAGTAACAAAAGCAAAAATGTAGTAGAGATTCATCCTATGCTGGGATAAGAAGTGAATCTTGCAAGACTCCAATTATTTTTAAAACAAATGTAAACAAAGCCATATTTTATCAACAGGTCAATGCATACAAGAGGGCATCCCTATCTATCTACCAACTGACTATGCATGGACACCTAGGAACTAGAATACCTGTTCAACAACAGGATTCACCTTCACCTAATATAAAAACTGATCTCCAAGACCTTTCCTAATCTTTCTCTGTGAAAGCTGAACTTTGTCCCTTCAGTCACAGTGGTTCTAAAACTTCCAAAAATTATATCAAAGTCTACAAAATTTACATAAAGTACATCTTTATCCTGCCAAATTAGTATAAAAAGACACTATTTAAAAAGGGGTGGTTTTTGCAGATGAAGAAAGAAGTTAACATTATTGTCACGCAGATACTTAGAAACTCGAGCTTCACAATAGATCACAGTGTTGACTGTACACAAAACATAATTTTGTAGTATGATTTGCTACATCAGAGCAATCTGCAACTGAAGTAAGCAAGGACCTAACAGAAGAGCTAGAAGTTGTTTTAGTTATTGGCATATTCCTTCCTACCCACCTGTCCGCTGAGAGTTACTAATTCAAGTGTCCATTTTTGTACCAACATTTAACATGGCACTACAGCCTTACCTTGAGAGACAATGGAATTGCACAATGGAACTTTCACTGGGAAACTCAATTCAAAACTGCCACATAAGAATGAAGACAAAAGAGGACAAAGACACACAATCTGCCCCAAAGCTAATTATCTAAGGTCTGTGTGCAAGCGGAATAGGCTGAAGTATGCAGTGCTGTCAAGCATGATTCAGAAAGCAAAAGTATCTGAAGAACAGAAATACATAAATACAATTATCCCATCTCTGTTGCATCAACTGTAATTGTATACGAAACAGCCACTGTTTATTTTCAAATGTACAACTTAACCTCAGTAGGAAATGTATAGGAGATGTTCCTAAGAAGAACAGCATACCATTATTACTACCTTTTTGTTTGTTTGTTTTAAACCAAGGCAGAAGAAACTATGTTCTTTTCTTCTGTTCTGTTTTCCTTTAGGGAAGAATGATTAGAAACATAATGCAAAAAAATGAGAACAGTCGCAATGACTTTTTATATACATGTGGCATGTTTACAAATAACAGGCTTGTTTCCTTTCCACTACTGAAGTGAAGATGCAATCCTATTTTACAGATTAATCAACAAATGCCATCTTACAGAGCGCTGTGCTGGTTCTCTGCATACATATGGCCCAAACTATTTCAGTTGATAACTTGTAGCAACTAAGTTAAGAAAGACAAAAACCTTTCTTAACTTTTCACACACTGATGACTTCCTATAAAGGATGTAGCTAACTAACACTCACAGAATAACTAATTCACAAAAGTTATGCCTGGAACAGATAAAACTGATTCAGCTGTCCATTAACGTCCTTGAAGAAATGTAATTTGCAGCAAGATAGGTACCCTAAGTGCCTCAAGAGATGGAATGTCTTAAGACAGATAACCTTAAGATTTCAATCTCATGCTAAACTACATCTTTCCCATTTTTATATTTTAACAATCTTTTGACTTGCCTTCATCACATCTTTCCTGAATTCTTCTTACCCTATTTATCCACAAAGACAACAGGTTTATCTCCAATATGTACACATCAGCTTTCACAATTCTCTTCTCTCTGCATCTTCAGTTTGTTTCAGCTCGTAATTCTTGCTAATGTCATGAACTCTAATTCTGGCTAAATGGTTAAAGCTTCTAAAGGTTGTCACGGCAGCTCCCAGAAATCTCTCCTATGTTTCAGCACAGTAACTTGACTTACAGGGTCCTGAGGCAGTACAGTAGAGCCTAGACAGTAACTCCAAGGGCTAGAATTAATGAGTACCATATACAAGGTCTATACAGAAAGGAAAATATTCTCCTTTGTGGCATTTCAGACACTTTTTTGCAAGTCAGTGATCTCCAGCTGTCACAATACTTACACTTGTTTTTTCCCAATATCTTTCATGAAAGGCTCTCATGCACTAGGGTATGTTTCACTGCCAGCAATATTTCATAACAGGAAACTTCTGTCTTTAAGGTCTCAACTTGATTTCTTGAGGATGAATGCCCAAATTAGAACATTAAGTAGTCTTAAATCTGAGTGCCAACATCATGACTCTAAGTTGCACTGTGCTGAAGTGGTACATAGTTACTTGACTTTTCCATTTCTCTCCAAGATTATTCAAGAGGCTACCAAGGAAGCATAAGCTACCATGAACTCAGTAATAAAAAGTAACAAAACTAGGTATAAGAGACTTTAGTAAAAACAAATATACAGTCATAATTTAAAGTTAGTACATAGACATTTGCCAGATCAAGTATCAGAATCACACCCAATAAATGCAGGTTCAGTATTATTTAATTCAAAACAGACTTTTGTTAATAGCAAATCAGGGTAAGCCAGTGCATCCAGAGAGCCAGTTCCAAGTCATACTACTTCAACTGACTTAAGCTTAAAAAAACCTAACTCCACATAACATGTGATGTAATTCAATATACACAGGAGTTCTGAGTCCTTCATGCACTTTATCAGTCTCAGAGCACTTGGGTGAAAAATGCTTCACAGGATTTTTAACTGATATTCAACACAGTATCATCTGTGAAATTAAAAATAAATGTTCAATAAACTTGTATCCAAGTGCTTTCTCAAATCACAAGACAACCCACTTGCACATTTCAACTGTTCTTTACTGCACAAACAACAATATCCATGCAGCATCACTCTCTCACACAACTACATCAGGCAATTACATGTAAATGTTCTTTTAAAAATAATCCTTGTGTCCAGATTGCTAGCTTCTTTTCTAGTTTGTTACCACCCTGTTACAATTTAACAGTACTTTTTTTTTACTAAGGACCCTTCATGTCTAAGTACATAAAGTGATTGCTACTTTACTATCAGTATTTTTTCCTGTAAATTCTTGGTACAATGGAAGGTTTGAGGAGTTATCTTAAAATACAGAATTTATGTCAATATTGAAACAGCAAGCATCTAGTTTTAGCACAAATAAGCCAAAAGGCAGGACAGACCAAGGGAATTGTTTCCTTTCTCCTATTCTCTCTCCTTTAGAAGTGTCCCTACAAAAACATGCCACCTCTATTGCTGCAGGTTTCCTGGGATAAATTTACACAGAAAATAATCACACTGTTTTATTTTCACATCAGAGCCTGAGACCTTAATTGCTGTGAATCACGACTTCCTGAACTTGAACAGGACTCATTTGTTTCAGGATAATCCAGCCTCCTGGCCTAGCCAGCAAAAAGTTTGATTAACTTCCCCTCTAATACTCAGTCATGAACAGCACAGTTTGGTCACGCCTGTTAATCTTTTGGTATTGTCTGCAGCACATGAATTGCAGCATGAAACAAAGCTGTCTAAACAGACCACAAAAAGCAGCACCAAAGAATAACCCTTGGGAAGTACAGGAACAGCAGACACACACAGAATACAGTCAGACTGTGAGAAAATAAATATAACATCAACCTCAGTGACAGACAGGAGGTGACAAAGCAAGGGCAAGACCAAGCACTCAAACAAGCATGGCACCAACTCTATCTGCTTGCTCTCTGCATAATCAGAGATGAGAGAGCTCTGAAAACACACAGCAGATTCTATAGCAAGAACAAGAACATTTTACTGTTGTCTAGTGAGAGTGCACCCCTCCCCGCCGCCAGCTGAAAAACAATTCCATATTCCAGGAAAAGACAACAGACTTCCTCCAGCTAGACCAATAATGATCATGATACTGGATTTTGTAAGTAAGAGAAACACAAGAGGAAAACAAAAACATCTCTGCTTCTAAACAAGATTTTTAAGGTGTTTGCTTGATCCATTTAGGGAGGACAGGAAAAAATTGTATGTTCATATTAAATGTAGGAAATGTAAATAAATGGTAGTTCAACATGTCTAGTCAGTGAGCAAATGGAGGCAGAAGAACACTGAAGCACAAAAGCTTTAATGCAAATTGATATTAATTGAATGGAAATTCTAGTCTTCACAATTTAACAGCATTTTGTAGTCAGAAGAAAATAGACAAAAATTCTGGTTTCCTTATAAGTCTGAACAATTCATTTGAAAAAATAAAAATATAAATCAAAGAACTACAGTGTTCTTTTTATTGACAATGTAAGTATTATACAAATTCTCTTATTTCACCTATCAGCCTCCTGCTTGATGAATCAGGCATCAACTAATTTAAAGTTTCAAACCAGGACAACTAGAAGAACATTTATTAAATCTGGACTCCCTATCCCCTGATTAGAATAGCTTGTGGTTTACTTGTATGATCTTTTTCATAAATACAAATTTTGCTTACCTGATGCTGAGTTCATGATGTTCTGCTGCACAGAAGGACTGGTGGGAGCTGTAACATTCATCTGGGAAAGCATGGCCTTCCTAGGATCTTGCCATGTTGTTGTTTGATCAATGTGACTAGGACAAAACAAAGCAAGAGTTAGGACAGTCATGCATTCACAACAATGACCTGCTAGCACAGAAAGTTTAACAACAAAAGGTTAAGCTTGCCAACAACAGCCACATTCAAAACGAAACAAGAACTGTTTGGATTCTCTCCAAGCATCTCTGTATGTCAGATTCTCAAACCCTTGCCCTGGCCACCACTAGTTTCCCAACCAACAACTGCAGCAACCAGAGCTAGAGCAATGGTTAGATAAGGTTCATCATGAATACCATAATCTAAACTGTTGTACCATAACTAGATGTTGTACCCTGGAACAAAGCATTTGCTTCCTTCTCTCTTTGATCACTTATTTGCCATTTTTAAATGTGTCTTCACAGATTTGCAAACCAAGCCAGTTATGTCTGGAATCTCAAGCACAGTCCAGTACCTTGGCATGATGAGTTCATATTCAGGGCCTAGGGAGCGGTAATGAACTGGCTAGTATGCAATCATTAGTGTTCCCAAACTTTCTGTGCATAGACCACATCCTCAGATTATTGGGCAGACTACTCTCCTCCCCACTGACACCTGAACAAGCTCTCTGTGGTAGCTGAAGTAACCAGTCACACTAAAGCACTAATGTGAAAGGAATGTGCAGTTGCCTTTCAACTTCAAGCAAAAAGTGAGGACAGTGGGACTGTCAACTAATCCACCCAGCCCTCTGCAAAACTTTGGAAGCTTAAGACTTCTCTGTTTTGAAAAAAAATCGCAAGTACATTCACAACTGTCATTCATGGAAGTATTCAATTCAACGGGAATACAAAAGTGTAACGAATCATTATTTTACTTTTGGAGTATGCGATTAGCATGTTTTGCTAATGAGCAACAGATGCAGTCTATTCATAACAAGTATCAACAATATCTTGACGCCATTAAGCAACACTGCTCTGAGAAGTACATGGGGTCAAAATACAACTCCAAATGCACAGGAACACTGACAACAAAATCTGTTATCCAATCATTTAAAACCAGTATAAATTAAAAATCATATTCAGATAGTATTGTTATAAATTAGAATCCAATGCACTATTAACTTGGTACCATTCTTTCTTTAAATAAATTATCCTTAAAATTATGCTTTTCTGGATTACATGGAATGCCCATTTCCACATTCTTCACCAAAACCACAACAAGTAACGAATTCAGAAGAACATAAAATGAAGCAGCAGTCACCAAAATAATTACTTATGTCAAACTACTTATCACATTCTAATCTTCTGTTACAAGGTAGACATACCACAAACTAGCTTTAAAAAATTTTTAACATATGTATATTAACACTCTCTAAACATGCACATAAGCAATTTCAGACCAAAGAGTTACAGACACACTGTAGTAACTCATTTAATACAGTATGTGCTGGTTTTGTCTGGGGTAGAGGTTATTTAGGTTATTTTCTTCACCACGGCTAGTACTGTGCTATGTTTTGGATGAACCTGACCTCCCTCTGATCATCACACCAATAAATTATGTTTGATGGCTGGGGTTAAACCTCAATAAGATACTATTAAGCACACTGCATCTCTGGTTGCGCAGGTTTTCAAATATTCAGCTTCACTGAAAAACATGCCACATACAGCAAGACTTCTTTATTTATTTTTAAAGCTGATTTATTTATAAAACATGGTGCAACATCGTAAAGACTGCCCTATATATAAACCTTCATACTGGAGAACAATTTTTCACTTTTCTGCTGGTCAGTTTTGCAAAGCAATGAAAACAGGTAAAGATAATACAGATGTAAAAACACTGCACTGTAATGCTTCACAGACTGTGTGTTTAAATTACTGTACCAGCATGTGCCACTCCTCCCTTACATTTCTGATTTGTTGTATTTGCTCAACTCAGTGCTGGCAATAGTGGAAACTGGGAAAACATGACTGTACCCGTAATAACGCATTCATCTATTTCCATTTAACTCTTATGAAAACCCATGTAACACTATGAACTAATAAAATGCAAGGTACATAATTTATAGCCTTTGTTTTTAAATGCTATTTGAGTGCAGAGTAAGAAATAGAAGGAAAAATGTTTTCTGCCTGCATTACAGAACCAGTTCTACAGTTAACTGTAGGAACGCACTAAAGTAACAACATTCATCAATTTTTCAAAACACATCTGAACATGGGACAGATGAATGGACTATGGAAGAAGCAGTTTTAGATGTACCTCCAGTTTTGAGCACAAGGACAGCATTATCAATTCCTCAAGACAGCTTAAGCATACCACACAATGTTCACATGGAGTTGTTAACAAGGATAGCTATTTTAGGTAGTAGCAGCTTCCAGCTTTTCCCTAGCTCAGTAACACTTGAGAAAAGTCAGCATGTTCCTTACATGACCAGCTGAACTACAATCAGCAGTCTTAGAGCCAAGAGCCATGGAGAAAAAGCTTCCAAGCAAGCAAGCTGATTATATTAATATTATACTGACCATATGACTGGTTCAATAAGGCAAATTTTTTTCCCTCCTACTCAGCTCAGTGCTTCATGACCTACACATCCATTTCTTCTACACCTTCCCTCAAAACTTTTCTCTTCAACCTCCATCAAATCACAGTCCTCATATCTTGCCTGCTCCATATCCTGAGTGTTTGAATGCTATATATTAAGAAAGCACCCAAAACACTTCACAACAGATCAGTTCTTTCCTATAAATTCCAAATAATGCTCAGCTGATGGAATGCAAAGTAGGCAAGCCCCCACTTATATGGATGAAAAGTTTAAATAAATCCTAGTACTACATGGAGGAATATAGGAATTAATTTTGTTCCTATTCGCAGCACATGGACAAGGGTATGTTTACTATAAACACCGTGTATTTTTAATTGTCAATTTAAGTACTGAAACAGGACATTCTCCACAGGTAAAGATCTTTCCCTCTGTTTTGAACAGCAGCACAGAAAGGTCTCAATGGACATAACAAGAACTGACATCAACAATGCATTATCTTTCCCTGCATTAAGTAGATTTTTTTCTCATAGTAGCTGAATTACATGACAACTGCCCCAATCCTTACATTAAAGATCTTTTCTTTTACATGAGCTTTACCATATCTCAATAAGCAACTAGTGTCAACACAAATAAAAGATTAAAAAATATTAGCAAATTATATGAAGTCAATGTAACCTATAAATCAGCCATTATATATAGCATGTATTATCAAATTAAAACTTAAAATTCTACCTACTCAGGAATGAGAAACATAGCTCTGTACTGTGTGAACAGAACAGAGTAAATATTCCTGTAATTAAATCAACATCTCTAGGATAATAAGCAATGTATGACATTTTATTTCACATAATGAATTCTCAAATCTAACATATATCTTTCTGGCACTATTTATTATTGTTCATTTATGTAGCAGAGAAGTAAAACTTTAGTAAACTGGACAAGCATAGTATAAACTAAGGAAATCAGACTGTACCATAAATGTAGGTCTGTGGTAACAGGCCTTAGAAAAACAAAACTGAAACACCCACCACATGCTAAGCATTTGTTAGCAAACTTATACAAATTCTAGTATCAAGAAGAGTGACTGTTCCAAGACGCATCACTCACCATCCTCCACCAAAAAGGACTTTCAAAGTGCTGTGCATTACGAAGAGCACAAGCTGCATCTCCTCACCCATCTTCAAGTTCTACAGCCAAATACAAATTATTTGCATTTTGACAAGAACAACTTCAAAGAAAAGAAAAATGTTCCCATTTTACGTACACAAAGAGAATTTCTGCAGTTACTAAGAATCAGAATTTAATTGAAAGAAATCTTTACTGGCATTAAACACCATCACATGCCTGAAGATTTGTCAGATTCAAATTCTAACCTAATTTTAGAGTTTAAGGTTTGGGTTTGTTGTGGTGGTGGTTTTTTTTTTTTTTTTTTTTTTTTTTTTTTTTTTTTTTTTTTTTTCTTTTTTTTTTGAGAGGGAAGGGTGTTGAAGATTTTGTTTTGAGTTTTTTTTAATACATTGAAAAAAAGCAGGAGATATAGAGACCTATAGAGACCTAAAAAGGAAAAGGAAATTTACTTTTTCTTTTAAGAACCCTTTGTATCCTAGTAGACTAATAAAATAACACCATTTTAAAAACAAAGCCCTTGTACAAAGTGTAATATACCTTCCCATTCATTCTCCAGTTGCTGCACTAAAGACATGTATTTTTTTGTTAAAAGCCAAGCCAGAAACAAACTAACACAAAAAAGACACTCAAAGAATTACTTAAATTCTTCAAGAAAGGCTTATCTAAGAGGTCTTCAGTTCTGACATTCTGTAGTATGTATTGCAACTACAGTGTCCCTGCTGGCAGGTGCACTTTCCAGGGTACGCTGAGAATTTCATTTGTCCAACAGAATTCCCAGTCATTACAAAATCATATGTCTTTCTCACTCTTTCTGCCTTTATTAGCATAGAGTCACCTTATATATGCTACATCATTTATAATTAGAATTTCCCTTTCACAAAAACAGATATCAGGATAGACATTATTATCATAAGCAGGTCAGAACTGCAAGACTATTTTACTGAAGTGTGCAATAGAAATGTAATGTTAGTAAGAAAAGCAAAAAAGAATGAACAGATATTCTAATCCTCAGTACCAGACATCATACTGTATGAAATTTGTGCAAGCAAAAAAAAAGGAAAAAAAAAAAAAAAGGTCTGATCTACACATAAAAGAATAGATAAAAATAAATAAACCATCGCTTCTCAGTACATTTGGACATGGCTCTTCCTGAAAGGACATTTCAAAAATTTAGTCTCAAACACACAGAAGGACAAGTTTTTCCTAAGTATAAAAGCATCACTGTAAAAAACGATGCACACATCTCTCCATAATGTAGTGCTTGTGTTTTAACAATCTAGACAACACTTATATATTTTATGTCTGTGAGAAAATTATTTTCAGTCTCTAGTGAACTTGAGATGACTAACCTTGGATTTTGGTTTTCAGATTTTTGGGACTGTTAAGAATTCA